TTTTTTTTTTTTGGTTAAAAAAAAAATCACAAAATCTTCCTGTCCCAGCTCAGAGGTTGAGTGGGCCTGGGAATATATTAGCTGGTGGCTTTGGATGATATCTCTGAATGCAGCTGACTTCTTACTAGCTGTCATGTATGAGTGTGGGACAAATCCATCTTGAGAATACTGATTCCTGGTGTCAGAGGGGTCTCTGAGACATTCCAGCTTCTCAGTACTTCTGGCTCTTCTTGCACCTGCATCATTAAAAAGTAATACTTGAATAATTTTTTGAAACCTTTGATGATTCATAGTTTTGTGAAAGTCAGGACTGCTGTCGTCCTTTGCTATGTAGTTCAACAGTTCCCATTTTTTAATTTCTAGATACCAATTAGAATGATCATCCAATGAATTTATTTTATTTCTTTATGGTCTATATTCTTCGAATCACTTCTGTTTACTTGCCCTTAGCAATGTCAACTTATGAACTGTATCAAATACAGTTTGACACATAAATATCATAAAAGGTGGAAGAGCGTGGTCACGTGTTTTTAGCATAACAGAACAGTTCTTATTGCAAAATATTGCATGGTGAAGTCTTTCCTAGTGAATGACTAACTGGACAAGAATACTTTATTTCCTTTTTGTTCTTACAAATATATCATTCCCTTATCATTTTTTTTTGTTTGTTTTTTGTAGAGACAGAGTCTCACTTTATTGCCCTTGATAGAGTGCTGTGGCATCATAGCTCACAGCAACCTCCAACTCCTGGCCTTAGGTGATTCTCCTGCCTCAGCTTCCCGAGTAGCTGGAACTACAGGCGCCCACCACAATGCCCGGCTATTTTTTTTTTTTTTTTTTTGCAGTTTGTCTGGGGCCAGGTTTGAACCTGCCACCCTCAGTATATGGGGCCGGGGCCCTACCCACCAAGCCACAGGTGCCGCCCCCTTATCAATTCTTGAGTTTGAGAAAATAGATCGCCACCTGAAGATTAATAGTCTGGAATTTTGGTTGTACAATCAGTGTCCCCATTACCATTAGAATCTAGAATGCTGCTGTTTGTCTCAGCACTGATCTTCTAATTTCTCTAAGAATTATAAAATGTCTTCCTCTGTCAATTTTTTTATTGTCAATATGGAGAGGAAATTAAAAATTTTTGGATTCTCAACTGTATTCAGTGAAAGCTAAAAGCAGACTACAAATATAATGTCTCCAATCATTTATACCTTATTGAAAGATAATGTAGGGTGGTGCCTGTGGCTTAAAGGAGTAGGGTGCCGGCCCCATAGGCCAGAGATGGTGGGTTCAAACCCAGCCCTGGCCAAAAACTGCAAAAAAAAAAAGAAAGAAAGAAAAGAAAATGCAATATTTTGGGCAATGCAATAAAGTGATGATTCATTTTAATAGTATATTATCCTTTTCAGTGATTTCATCTTTTTTTTTTTATTATTTAAGGGTTTTTTTTTTTTTTGAGACGGAGCCTCAAGCTATCCCCCTGGGTAGAGTGCCATGGCATCATGCCTCAGCCTCCCAAGTAGCTGGGACCACAGGCGCCCGCCACAGCGCCTGGCCATTTTTTGGTTGCAGCCATCATTGTTCTTTGGCGGGCCCAGGCTGGGGATTCGAACCCGCTACCTTGGGTGTATGTGGCTGGCACCTTAGCCGCTTGAGCCACAGGCGCCGAGCCTATTTAAGGGTTTTTAAAAGCTTAGTTGTAAGTAAAGATACAGGAAAAAAGAAGACTGCCAAAGATTCTAAATGTAATGTACCTTACTTATATTTATAAAAAGGTACTATGGACCCTTATGGTACTTACAGGATAGAATGATTTTTGTTCTTTTTTAAAAAAATAAGTATTATTTCTCTTTGTCATCTGGAAGACTCTAAAAAGAATCATTTGAACTAGCAATCCCTCCAAATAAATAAGGAATTGTTTCAGAGAGAAAATCATAAACTAAATTGGGTCCAATGGACCTTTCTATTGCACCAAGGGCTGAGTTGACCAGAAATATATAATAACTAGATTAATGACTGAAGCTTTGTGAGTCAAGCAAATGACAATGAGTTTTAGCTTTTCTTTACTGAACTTAAGCTTGCAGGAGTTTGCTCCAGCTTGTGTCTTTCTGTTCCAACCTTCACTTTATCTGTGTGGCCTAGAAGAAGAGTAGATTAACTTCTTTGTGAGTGAGGAAGGTGCTTTCTCCTCCTGTTCATTTTGTTTGCAGGAGCCCTGCTTTGTCTCCTGAGACTCTCCTCGGAGCCTGTTTTCTGTCAGAGCCCTTGAGCTGTTAGCTGTTGAAGTGGAGTGCGTCTCTGTTAAGCACAGGGTCTCAGTTGGGAAGAATCTATAAGGGGTGTATATGCCAAACACAATACCATTGTGCGCAGGCATTGCAGGAGGCTGCCAAACCCAGGGGTAGCTGCCAGTACAAATGCCACGTTGACATGACATTTACAAGTTTAGACTTTGGAAAGGGACTGCCAGTGGAACGCCCCTCACCTGCCTCATCTACGGTGGCAGTAACTAAGCCAACTGCTGATTTTCAGACTCAGAAATCTCAGGAAGGAATACTTCATTAGAGTTTAAAACTGTCATAGCAACTTTTTCTAGGAAATGATAAATCCTATTAGCCTGTTCCTGGAATGGAGGGTAAATATAATGGCTGAGAGCGTGACTCTGGAATGAAACCTGGGTTTATATGAAGGCTCTGAAACTTGCTGTGTGCCTGTACAAGTTTAAGACTCAGCTTTCCATCTATAAAATTGGGATAATTGTGTCACCTACCTCATTCAGTTATCACATGTATTAAATAGTATATTCAAAAGTGTAAGCACTTTTCAAATTCTTTAGGAACGTGTGAAAAATTCAGGTTTCCCGTTCTCAAATTTCAGCAATAAGTAGATGTACTTTGCCAGGGACATTCTGTCCCAGCATGAACTTGTGTGTGGACCCTTTGCTTGATGAGGCATTATTGAAACTTCGTGCTTCTGTGCACAGGACAGTTTTCTTCCCTTCTCTAGGAAAATTCAGAGCTGGGGTCAGGATCATTTGAGTTTTTGGCATCTCTAAGTTTCTTGGATGTAGAAACCATTTGGGTGTTAAGAATTCATTTCAGTAATAAATGAATTGACTTGGAACTTTTTTATGGCAAATTCTGATGCAAAATGAAGACCCAGAGTTGTTCTAAAAGATAGACGTTGTCTTACTAGGGTTGGTAATAAACTTTGCCACAAGTAACAAAATTGATTAAGGTCTTGATTAAGGTCTTGATTAAGTCTTTTGTCATGATGTAATTCCTAAGTAACAAGCTTTTCTGTGCTACTTACCTAAAATACAGGGTGGCTGTAAGTCGTGTGCAAATTTAAAAGTTTGCTACTTTCAATTGCACGTGAACTTTATGGACACCCCGTTATCCTTACTATGGCACTTTGTTTATTTCCTCTGATCACTTTCACTACCGTTTGTAAATTCTTCCAAACAATAAAATTCTTTCTTTTCTTCCCCCTCCCTGTGTTTTACAGGTCTTCAAAGCTGCTGCGGGCATTCTACGTCCCCTTCCTGTCAGATCGGTATACAGTATACGCAAACTACACCATCCTCAAGCCCCGGAAAGCAAAGCAGATCAGGAAGAAAAGTGGAGGTTAGCAGCACACCTCAGGCCCCGAAGGACAGCCGTCCGGTTAACTCGTGATTCGGCTGACCTGACTTCCTCCACGTCATTGCCTGTATCATAAATGATAATAAAGGTCTTCTGACACGAATACTGGAATTGGGGTGCTTTGGGCTAGCCAGAGTCTATTGCAAAGTCTGGTCAGAGACTTTCACGTTTCACCTCCGAGTCTGTGTCTCTGTTCTGCATGTCCACGTTTCGCTGCTAGGGAAACAAAGGCCCCTCACGCACAGGTAGACACATTGCTTCACATCTCATTCTTTTTCTTCTGTTCAATTATTTACTAGACCGGAGAAGAACAGAACCAACTTACAGGAAGAATTGAGAATCCTTGGACTGGCTGACTGTATTAAGCTGTTCTCCACCCTCTGGCCTGGCACCTGAGAACTAGCGAGCCCAGGCCACTCGGGCTTCTCCACCAAAGCTGTTTGGCAGCTCCTAGCAGACCTTCTTGTTCAGACCCTTGTGCTGAAAAAGAACACAGTCTAGTTGCCAACCTACATGTCTGTCTCACCTCCAGCAAGACTAAGCTTCTATAAAGTACTTTACAAGACTAGGACCCTGTCCTGGAGCTATCTCAGGAAAAAGGCGACCATTTGAGGAACTGTGACTTAATTTTTATTTATATATGATGCCTCTAATTTTCATTTCTTTCCCTGTACAACCAACTGTAACCATATGGCAGTTGTGTGTTTGTGTGTTTAAGTTTTAGCATGCTATTTCATGAATTCCAGACTCCTTCGTATAAAGGTATCAACAGACCAAGCTATAACTATATAGAACATATTTGGAACACATTAATTCTATTAATTGGTAGATTTGGATGATATCACATTTTTAAGTAATATATTCTAAGGCCACTGCTGAGGAAATTATTATTAGTATTTCCCTTAAAAAAAAAAAACCCCTAGTAAAAAGGACTAGTGTACTACATGTATTGATAGCACCTGTTTTTGAGTTCTGTCTGTTACAAGGCACACCCTGCATGGGATATTTCTAGTCTAATAGGCAATGATAATGACCTAATTAAAATGTACCAAGTATACTATTACTTTACCTGAACAGGCAGTATTTCAGTTTACAAGGCACTTTCACAGCATCTCATTTGATCCTCACAGTCCCAGTGTGTGGTAGACGAGGCAGATGACTTTATCTCCATTTTACAGATAAGAAAACTGAGGCTCATTAGGGGAAGTAGAGTGACTTCCTCCCCAAAGTCACCCAGCCAGTAAGTAGTAGAGCTGACACGAGAGGCTAGGTTATCTAACTTCTCAGCTAGTGCTCGTCTGTGACAATACTGCTTGAAAGGATGATGAGGTTGACCAGAGACCTGTTTGGTATTGTAACCCTCTGTTTTAAGGAAGCGTTTTATCTGTATTTCTTTGAGTTTTTGGAGCCTCTAGTCTGCCTGTGTGTTAGACCAGCACAGCAGTGCTGTGTGACACAGCCTGGCCCATGGCAGGAAAGTAGTGCTTATATTTGGAGGTCATGTTCCTTTGCGGCCACACAGGATCCAGATATCAGC